TATGCAAATTTGAGATCGAAGATTCTCTTCATTTCTCATTATGTTAACGTCTTTAATTAAAAATTAATTATCATGCTCGGAGGAAAATTTTATATGCTACGTGGACAAAGTAACGAAAGCCACGTAAAATAGAGCTAAAAGCAGAAGTTTTAAAGTTTTCTTCGATGTTAGCTCATTAGATTCAACTAGAATCAAACATACGATAAACACTTATTATTCGAGTTATAGTACCATGCTAGAATAATATACTTATAATTCTCAATGAGCATTGATTGTAAAATTCTTCCAAATAAAAAAAAAAAAGAAAAACAAAACGATATTAGCTACGTAAAATGAACTACAAGACTAACACCATTTACTGAACTAAACACCTGGCGATTTAGATTAACGTTTTGAGGCGAACGCAACTGGTTCGATCGATCCTTTAATTGGAAGGAATGGTAAACAGTAAAAGAAGACTACAGCCGTTTGACGTGGTTCTTTAACCTATTCAACCCTCTTGATGTCTTCGAAAACCATCGTCCCATGTCAATTATTCGACAGGGTCGGGACTAAAGCACAAACCACAAAAGATCTTACGTATCTTCGGAAACTTTAATTCGATCGTAAGTTTCTACGTAATAACAAATGAATGTTATTCAATCATGTTATTTCTTTCTGTCGTACGTACATTATATCGGGTATTTAAAAAAATATTGTTGCTTGAGTGCAAAGGAAAATCCAAGATAAAGGTAAATAATAAAAATAAAAACATGCATTTGCATAAACATTCGTAATCTCAGTTATCATTTTTAGTAGGTGAACAAATATTTCTTTAGATTCTATTCTTTAGTCGCTTCAATAACAAATATCCGGACGTTAACAAATTTAAATGTCTAAATAACAATGAATGGCAGTAAAAGCGTCAACTTGTACAAACATCCACGTCCAAGAATAACAAACAAGAAAGAGTGAAATACTAAATTTAAGAACAACCTACGAGTTCGTCGGTTTGTATTCTCAAGTCGATGATTCAATTCAAATTGGTTACAAACCTTTCGACAGTGAAGGCGGTGATGGTCAGAACGGTGGCGTTCGCGGACGTCTCCGCGGCGAAGCTTTGAATAATGCAGAACGCCTCGCCAAACACGTACGGGAAATGCGACCAGATGTAGCACATCTCTGGAGGCAGGCCGGATATCAGCAGCAGTAAATCAGAAACGGCCAAGCTGAACAGATAGTAGTTGGTGGCCGTGTGCATCGACTTGTTACGCGCGATCACAACACAAGTGGACACGTTGCCGATTAATCCGGTGAGGAAGATCACCGTATAGATCACCGTGATCGGTAAAACGATGTACAACGGATCTCGCCTCACCGTCGAACAATTTTCCTGCTGCAAATATTCGGCGATTGGTCCCGTGTAATTCTCCCATTTACCTTCAGAGGCCAGCGAATCTTCGTGACTTCCGGCCAATCTCATGCTATCTCCGATTATTATCGATCCTTCCGAACCGATCGATTTGTTCGACGAAATCATTTTTCTCCACCAGATTCCGGCTGATTCTGAGAGATTCTGTGCAATCGGGTAACGTTGACTAGCTTTCTGCACGATTGACTAGTATAGAATTAACTTTGACATTAATTAACCACGTTCGTGCTGCGTGCACATTTTAATCAGCGAAAGTTTCAGCGAATTTTTTATTCCATCGTTTCGATCGAATTCGAATCGCCTTCGTCTCTTTCGTTTAATCGTAATCGATATGGTAGTCGATCGGAAGGTTAAATCACCGCGTGTTCTGTTTGTAAATTGAAATCTCATAAGCTTCGGTGTATCATAAAGGTCTGTTTTGATGATCTGTTGACGATGGTACGAAGGATACAACGAGAGATAGGTTCGGTTGCGTCTTTCTTCGACATTTTCGAGTACTTCCAAGGACAGAGGCGAACCCTTGGTATCCCTCGAGGACGATTAAGTCAATTCCAATCAATTTACCGAGGTCGACGCGAATAGATGGTTCGATCAGACTCGTCGTGGTGTCTTTATTATCAATCCACGCGTCAAGTGGTCTGCGAAGAGCGCTTCTTCTCTCTTGGTCTTCATTTAAACTCGATAAGTTAGCCTCGAAATTTTTATGAAATCGAAGAATATTGGAAGATAAGTTGTTGAGTGTTATTGGTCGATTTCTGTGGTTGAAAGCGTTCGAATCAATTTGCGGCTTTAAAAATAGGTCGGTCGTTCGATCGAAACACAGCTGATCACTGTATCTTCAGGGACGAATAGAATATGTCGTTGGTCTTCGCTGAGACATATTAATAGAAAATCGTCAACGGGGCAGGATGAGCTTATTATGATTGCTCTGGTCTGCTAAGCATCCAATCCACGTGTCGTCACTCGGAGATTGTCTTTCCACGATACTTCCGGTCTAAGGTGTCCGGCCGTCTCGTTCTTTTTTGCAGTAGGTCTCAGAGATTGGATCGTTGGTTTGACGCTATTATTCCGTAAGATGGATCTTATTAGAAAAAGTGTCTGTTCTCTTCTAACTCTTTTTAACTTATGAAAATGTTCTTTCAATTTTCATTATAAAAGTCCAACATTTTTTCGATGAACTTTACTTCAATTTCTCTTACGAGATTTTAAATTTTCACGACATCATTTTCGATTTTTATCAGGGACTTTTAATTTTCAACGTAATTTCTTTCGGCTTCTGGTATAAACTTTTCAATTTTAATAAATACAAGTCCTTTTTAATCTTACTATGAAATTTAAAATTTCAACGATTTTCATCCAAAACTTTTTCTATATTTTGTTATGAATTTCTTTCTGATTATGTATATGAGAATTTTCATATATCTAACCCTGGAATTTTCTTTCATTCAACTCTGGAATTTTTCAATCGCACAAACTTTACTTCCTCATTTTCTCTTTCTTTCGGATGGAAATGTTCGACGATTTCAATTTTACTTACCGTACCGTAATAGCAGGTGATTTTATTAATTACATATTCCAATTTAAGCGTCTAGTTGTCGATTATGTCATTCATCGATCAAATTAAATCTGAATCGTGTCACTGTAATCAAGTTCGAATCAAATCTAATTGTACACTGATCGTTCGTCTAATCATTGCCTTCGATATACCTCGCAATAGTTTCGACCACTATTCTGTGTAATAGTAATTCGATTCTTGGTTGTATGTCATTAGTATCTATGACGCGATTAACACGCGACGCCGTACAAATGACTTGAGCGTCGTTTGATTATTCAACCAACTGTAAACATGCCTGAAAATGTTTGCACGTGCGAACAGTTTTGGCCTTTTCTTATTTTTCCTTCTTTGTTTATCAGAATAATCAATCCAACGTTATTAACGTAACTAACGCCAATTAATCGATCGTTATGTTAAATTTGTCCAGCTATCTCGTTTACGATGCGAACCGATTATTCCTGGCCTCGTTTCAATTGATCGCACGATTTCAATTCAAATCATTTTTCTGTCGCTTTGTTCGATTGAAAATCTTACGGAAAATGACTGAAATTGTGAAAAATACGAAATGTTAAAGAAAGTATAAAAATACAAGTTACGTTTCTACAATTTCTTTTCCACGATTGTTACGATACTTCGCCGATAAATTAGTATTAAGATGCTTCTAATCGATATCTATACAATTTTATAATTTATAGCTGTTATGATTGAATCCCATGCGATTTTCATCAATTTGTCTCGTACTACGCGACGGTAAATTATTTGATTTATCGTAACGATACGGTTCTAGTTTAAATTTCATGATGCTTCGTCTAGACGGACACGCACATGTTCATACTCGCAGATCACGATAATCTTTCATTACGTTTCCAATGTGCTTAAAAATAAATTTCATACGTCATTTAACTCATCTTTATGTCTTTTGTTACGATGAATTTAACACTTTCTCCACTATTGTTCGTTCTTCGATCAATTTCGAATCAAATGCTCGCTAAAATAATTTGGTCAATCAAAGTATCGGCGATTATTTTCGCTGGAATTTCCATTTAATTCGCGCCTTCAACTATAAATTAGTTCCAATTAGCTTCTACGTGCTTAGCTCAATTAATCTCAAACATTCTTAAAACTGAATCATTTTCGATCGTTCGTCAAAGTCAATCACCGTAGGACACTTCGCATTCAAATTTCAACAGTTCCTTCGTACAAGATGATTAATTAATCGTTTCGTCTCGTTCGTCGCGCTTTTGTGTCGTTTCTTCTTTGTGAATTAGGAAAGTTCACTCGTATATGAACGGTTCTCGATTATTGAAAGACAGTGCCGAGTTGTAAGTTGTTTGGAACTTGTGTTTGAAACAATTTCTTCGTCTAAGTAATTAGTCATTTGTTTTAATTAGCTTTTCGTTTCTATCGGAAATTGCATATTCTTTATAAAATACGGGATATCTTTTACAATCTTTTATAATATTTTTTTATTGTTTCTATGAATTATTTCTCTTACCTGAAACTTACTTCTGTGAGATCGTTGAAAATTGTTTCTCCTCTTCCAAGACTATCCATCAATTCTTTCTCTTCTTACTTCCCCTTTCAACTCCACTAATCTGTCAAACGCTGTATAACCTTCGTTTAAGTTTTTCTTCCTCTTTGTGATAATTGTATGGTATACAATTATCGATTTTTGCACTTCAAATTTATATTTCTTTATTAATCTGTACACTTAGTTCTTCGTAACACGGTTCAAGTTGAATTTTAAGAATGATTATTTAGATTATTCCCAAGCACGATTAAATTGTTCCCCTCGACCTTTACGATTTTTCGTTTCTTCCTTCCTTTAAAAACTTATTTCAAATTTCACTTATTTCGAATAGGATTTTATCAATTTTTAAGTAAACTGTACACAATCATCGTTAAACTGTTCGTTTCTTCTTCAGATTTAGTTATATCTTCTTTTTTCTGAAAACCTACTTGAAATTTAATATTTTTGTATGAAACTTAATTATTTTAATATTAAATTTTACAATTTTTAATTAGATTATTCACGATCATCCTCGAACTGTTCTTGTTTTTTTCTCAAAATGATTTATCTCTACCTTTCGCAGATAGATACAGAACATCTCTTCAAATTTTTCATTGTTTCCGTCATAAAACCAATGAGATTTTCTTCAAAGTTACACTTCTCCCTCGAAGACCTGTTTAATATTTTTCTTGCTTATCGCCAAGCTTCACCAACAGAAATAAATTTTTCTCGTCATCAAATTATTCACCGCATTAAACATCCTTTGAATTCGCACCTCAATTCCAATGATCGAGCTTCTTACAACCACAACAATCCATTCACTTCCTTATCTGATTGATCTAAAAAAAAAAAAAAAATCCTGTTCACGAAATGCCTTACAAGAAAATGCTTTTCATAACATGCACAATTGTTATAATGTTTCCTCGAATAACTTCAAAAGAAATTTCATTCGTTTCTTTCTTTTCCCTCTGACTTGACTATTCCTTTATGTCAAAAAATCAAGTCGCTGATTATTAAAAAATTCCTCCGGACAATCTCAAAGGTATCGTTCAACTCAGCTTCGCGATAATTCTTCGTCTCATCAACCGGTTGACTCTAACGAAAAGAATTATACTCTCCCAGTTTCTCTGTTCGTTCGCGTGGCTCCCTTTCGTGACACGAACGCGATTAGAGCGCGGTTTGCGCGCGACTGAACATTCTTCGACAACGTTCGAATCGTCCACGCTTCTCCTGACCGTCGCTGAAATGGCGAACTGATTCTCCCATCTAACAGATTATTTCGAGCGCAAAATCAATCTAGCACGAGGTATATTATACGATCCACCATGCGTTATCTTCGATCGTCTCGTAAATGGTGTTGTCTCAACGGTGTCAAGAGAAACGCTACGTGACAATATTCCCGCAATAGGAAATAGAGCAAACGTATCTGTTTTATCTGCCTGTCCGTGATAATTGTTGTGTCAGTCTTTAATCGTGTGTCACTTAACGTTAATAGAATACGAGCATCTTCTGTAATTATTGATGTTAAGTTCGTTTCAAACGAAATTGGTTCAAGTCTCGATTTGATGGACGTTTGTTTCTCGATGTCTCTTTGGATTTTCTTTTCTGTTTGAATCGACATTCTGTTCGAATCTAACGTAAACTTCTGCTCTTTTTAGGAAATAGTGTTGATTCACCTTGTGCGTCTAAGATTAACAATAAAATTTACAGATTAATTATTACGTATAAATTTACAGGAAACAGTACAGAGAAATACAATTAATTTATTATTGAATAAAGTTGAAATTAAATGTTTAGAAAATAAATTGGCTGATAATCAAATTGGTAAAATTCCAAGACGAATTCATATTCTAATTGATTCAATAATTACCATAAGTTGCATCAAAAAAAAAAAAAAGAAAAAAAAGAAGAAAAATACTGACGAATTCAATGGAACAGAATAAGCTGACGGTGTGATAAAAATGATAGATGATGTCATTAAATTAAGCGAATAATTCTTTTCATTCTTCCCCTATACTTTTGAAACGTTGCTGATGAGCACAAAAAATTGTAGAGTACCTCGATGCTAATTAATCTCTTTCAATATTCACTATAAAAATCCTTTTCCTTTCTCAGACGAAGTAACTTTACGGTTAAAATTGAAGAAAAATCAATATCATTGGTATTTATGACGTTCACGATAAACGACAGAAAATATATGTGTACCCTCACGAACTTTTACAGAGAAGCGATATTTATATGAAATTTCAATATCTCGTGTCATACGTATCGTTGAATCGTACATAGTACAACTTGAGAGTTATAAAATTCTGCATCGATGAACAATTTCGATTCACTTGTTCTACAGCATCGGTATGAGATATATAGCTATCCTTTTTTCTTTTATTTTTTTTTTTTAACGCTCCTACACTTTCTACGCTTTCTTTTTTTCGCGACTCTTTTATTCTCGTCTAAAAAGGAAAAACTACCGGTATTTCACACTTTTCATCGTGCATTTTCCCTTCAGTCTTTTTTTATATTTCTTCGAAAGACAGAAAATATTCGCGTATCGCTCGATATAACTACACAGAAAGAAGATTTTTATCCAGAGATCGCGCCGTTTGTTACAGAATTATATAAAATGACTACTATATTACAGAGCTATTTGTAACTTACAAAGGACGCTGTGGTAAATTTTTTTTTAGATATTTGCCGACCACCACGAGGGGACAGAGAAAAAATAGAATTCATTCATAACGTACGAAATTAGCAGATCTATTTGAGAAAGATTCCAAGATACTCGATTCATTCGTGTAATTTGTTTACAGCCATCTAAAAAGAATAATCCTCGTGAATCTCATTTCGCTTACATCGTATCAACCATACAATAGCAATATGAAAAATAAAATTTCTGCTTCCTATACTTCGAGCTTCTGATTTACAAACATTCTACTAGGAAAAATAATTCCTTTGCTGGAAATATCAGATATACCGTATCGATACAAAACGCATATGGAATAAATCTTGCAATTAAAATCAATAATAAAAATTAAGGTTTTCGTGTATGTTGAAAATCGAAGGAAATATCTTCAACACGTATCTTCAACACCGTTGTACTCTATATAATAATATAATAAATATAATAAATATTCTATGTAAGATAACTCTTAGTTTCTAACAATTAGAAACAACAATGTAGATAAGGAAGAGACACTCATTTAAAACAAACTAGAAAGGAAGTTACATTTATGAAGATAATACTGAATTATCGCGAATTGCTCTTTTTTTTTTTTACTTGCTGACGAGGAGTATTATTCTAACTGAAGGAACTCCTTCTCGTTGAGACAGTCCCTAGTAATGACAGTATGATGGGTACTTGGGTGACTTTAAGGGAACTCTGTTTTTTACGACCTTTCCTTTGCACAGTCTTCGGAAGGAGATAGAGGAAGAATACAATAGGCGCTGACGAGCTACTCTATCGCATGCTCATTTATGAAACCCTTAAATTACCCAATTGTTGTTCTGGAACCATTGACGAACGAACATAATCACACCATATTAGAATAACACTGTTCGCCACACTTATTGTCAGATCGAAATCAAACAGTCTGTCCACTGAGTGTGTATTCGATGTTCCACTTGAGAACTTGAGTTTACTGTCACGGGAATGACACATGTGGTTTATGTTAACCAAAGAATTCTTTGTACGAAGTGTTTCGTGTTCTATTCTACAAGATAAATAGAAAATTAGGTTCCATTCAGGAAACGAAGAAGTCTGAAACGGAGAATTTGAAGAATTAAGAGTCCCCAACTTCCGATCAATTCTTAAATTCTACGAGAAGTTGTGAAGATAGAAAAAATTGCCGAGATCCAATGGAATTCTCGAATCTGAATAAAAAATGCAGAAACTTGCAAAATAAAGACAAGATGAGAAACGAGTGAAATATTTATTTTTCGCAGCTTCCACGAAAATCCTTTAGAGAGCTGAGACGATTTGTTACGTGTCTTATATATGTTGAATAAGAAATTTCCCATACATAGTACCAATTCCACGTTACATTTTACGAGTGAAACTCGTAACAGTTTTGCAGCTGTGATCAAATTTCCAAGGAGGAGGAAAGAAAGCCAACAAACTCTCTTATTAAATAGCAACTATTTTAAACAACAGTTGCATTCACAGAAAACACAGGAATCCTACAGTGCTCCGAAATGGTTGGTTACATGCGAAGTTATAAGTTATTGCACGTAGCGTACTCCTTACTACCATTTTCCAAACTTAAAAACTTCCATTTACGAAACAATTCTCAAGGAATCCCGAGAAATAAGAAAACTCTTTCGCGACGTTCATAGAAATCTTACAGAGTATCAAAATAATTGTTTCTAAATAAAAGCTGCCGGTATATACTTCGTATACTCTGATTTTGTTTCACGTACATCTGAAATATAAAATAAACTTCTACTCACGAAAGAATTCCAGAAGAAAGAACAAGTGACAAATAGAACGGAAATTTTGAAGAGCGCGAAAGCAATTTGTCACGGGTGTTGCAACTTTACCAAAGAGCTCTGTGTTCTACCTTGAGACGTATCGTCTTCGTGTTCGCAAGGAAATTTCAAAAGAAAGAACTAAGAAAAATCAACAGAAACTGCCGTGTAATGTTAGTATTTAACATTTTCAATAGCATGTAATGAGAACAAAATAAGAGTTTAGCGTTGATACTTGAATAACATATTTGCATAACATTTGGTAACTACGAAATAGTTTAATATTAATATTTAATATTTACGATTTTTCACAACACTCACAGAAAGCACAAAAATCTAAAAAGACACCGAAACCATTAGTCACACGCGTAGCTCACTAAAGGTACCTTTCGCGAAACGAATTCGCCAATGAACTTGAGTCTCTTTCCAAACATTGGTGTTGTTCGTCTGGAATCAACAAAGAAGAATGTAATGGAATATTTGGAAAGATAAGAGACAGGTTAGCGATTTTCATGGATGTTGGCACAGGCAGCGTGTTTTGGAATCGACCGATGCCCACGAGAACTGAACGCGTTCTGAGCGTGCGGTGGCGGTGCTGAGAATTTGAAAGAAGCGTCGTTAGGCGGTCTTCACAACAAAACGCGCTGCCTTCGCACCTGCGTCTTCCGCCCCCGGCTGACTCGATACGTCGCCACGTGTTTCAGTAAATCGTATTCCAACTAAAGCAACGAAATAATGAATCGTTTCCTCATTGCTTCATTATTCCGTTATTTTATTCAGACGAAGCAGATTTCTTTTGTCTTACGATCAAATAATTTTCTATTTCGGTTAACACTGGCGAATAAATTTCAAATGAAAATTAATTACATTCACGGAAACAGAATAATTTGGATTTTAACATTAAGTGAAGCCTCGAGTAATTGTATTTTGCGAATATTCCACTTACAAACAGTTTAATCGAATTATTTCACAACGTAACATGCATATAACATTCCCTCGGAATTTTTTTGAATTTTAATTCCAATCAACGTCTGAATTTGTGTGATGACATCGATGTTTCTTCGCACCAAATACCAATTAAAATGGATAATTATTTCATTTGGTAGCTAAATAATAAAGCAATTCGAAGAGAAATCACTTGCTTATAATGCAATTCGTCGAATTATTCGCTAATTAATGTATAATTATTTCGAAATAATACCTGGCCAAAGAACTGGATACGTATCATTTTAATAATCATTTTTCCAATATTTCATGTAAATAAAACCGAAGCCTATTCCATGACAGTATTGAAACGCAATTGTTTACTATGAGGCTGGAATATCGAAATGGAGATCGATCGAAGGTGTAAGTATTTATTTAATTAATGGAACGACGGATTAACCGGGAAATTGAATTTGGATGATTCAACAGAGAAGGTGCGAGGAATGTTTGGATGCACGGCATTCATGAATGCGTATGTGAACTTTTTGCGAAGTAAATAGTTGTTCAGGAACTCGCTTCCAGAGGATTATTAATCGTTTTATTTGTTGGGAAAACTGGAATTCGTGATTGTGCTTATGCAGTCATTGGAAATTCTACTTTATATTTAAATCGATCGGATGCCGAGATTAAAATATTTGCAAATATGAAAATATCGATGTGAAATAATCAATGTAAAATGATATGAAATAATTAATGGAATATATTTGCAATAGAATGTTTCTGCAGGTATCGTTACCTTAAAATTATCTTCGATTTTCGAAATGCAATAATTAAATTTCAAATTTCAAACCGTAAGAAATTTATAGGAAATTCTCGAAATTTGAAATTAAATTTGAAATTATAATATCTTACGGCTAGTATCCGATTGCATGTTTCGAATTCGAATGTTTACGTTACGATAATTCTTTGAACCTCAATTTAGTTTCAAAAAAACTAATCGTAAACTATCCTTGAAAGTGAAATCTCCAAAATTTTTGATGACTTGCCTATCGTATGACGAAAGTATCCTAATAATATATAGACATAAAGTCCGAATATTATTTCACAATATGTAACTCTCGACAGTACTTTTTCTTTTAAATAGCCTCAAATTCTTACCATATGAATCTTAACCATATGAATTATAGTCTTGATGAATAACAATTTCCCTAGTAATTAAAAACACCAGATATTTCAATCATGGATATTTCAACATAAATACATACGATCAAATATTAGACCATTCCAATCGTCTAGCAACAAAATGTCAGTCGCCGATTTTCAATCGAAAAAAAAACATACGGCTGGACGCTTGGGAAAATTGTCTTAAAACACGTAACATTATATTAACACAAAACACGTAAAACTATGTAACAGGGAAAATTTGAAGAAGAAAAGAGAGCTGCATCTCACCTGTTGCACGGAATATGCATACTCACCCACCATGGGCCCGATTCTTCTTAACGTCACGACTTATCGAACGCAAACGATCATCCATGGAGCATTTTTCTCGGATAAGAGATGCTTTAACTTGACGGATGCTAGGCGACCGATCACTATCGATTTCCATCGGCTATCGCTGGTTGCTCGAAACACGAACAAGCTGCTCTACCTATGTTGCTTTCCAATTTTAATCCAACGGCGGAGGAACTGCGTCACCTGTTGCGTTCGATGCATCATAACGGGTCACTGCATAAGTGAAAGCAGATAGCGCCCTGATAATCGTGACAGCATTTTTTTAACATTATTTATGGATACTATCATCTAGAATTAATATCGAAGCTTATTTTATCTAGAAATTTAATCCTTCAGCAAACTCACCCGTCCCTTTTCTATGCTGATTAAACGGTTACCATTATTTCGAATTGATTTAGAAGAATATTTCATCTGGAAATGCAATTTCTCAGTAGAATTATCCCTCTCTTTTCTACGACCATTAAAATTATCGTTCGATATTGAAAGTATTTGATTAAGTAATACAATCGAGTAAGATCATCCTCTTGTTTCCGTGGTAATTAATGGTTACCATTGTTTGGACTTAGTTTGTAGAATATGGTATTTAGAAATAGGGTCCTTAATAACGAAATAACCTCTCACGCTTCTATGGTAATTAATGGTTACAAGCAGGATTATTTCAGTGAGCACAACTTCAGTGCATCTCTTCGTTGTATTACTTTAATTGGCTCGTAAAGTAATTAGCGTTCCCGGATATTTTAATATTCAATCGAATCAAAAAGTGAGTCGTAAGTATGATGCATAACAATAATAGCGAAGATTTTCGATGCTTCGTTGATTCGTTGCTTGTAGAAAATTTATAGCGTACAATCAACGATAAGTTTTCGGTGTTACGGATGCGGGAAAAAGTCAAGAACGCATATTTTTGGGATTAGGATGCTAAAAGAAAGTTTATGGCTATCCAAGGTTTTACGTACACGCGATCGAACGTCTTTTTCTAGGAATGGCTGCGTACTTCCTCCGAATTGAGTGAAAATAATCGTAAAACAGAGCTTCTACATGATATGGAAAATACGAGCGTAGGACGATAGTCGACTGGAATTGTGACTGGAACGGGCATCGTTTTCTTCCATTGAATTTTTATATCCGAGGATTATCTTAACATGTTGATTCATCTGGGTGAATCGATGGGCGAACATTTTTTAAAAATCCATATGACGATTTACGAGTGAAATTGTTGCGTTATTGCGATATACAGGGCGGTTGGTAACTGGTGGTACAAGCTGAAAGGAGGTGATTCTACGTAAAAAAAGAAGTCGAAAATATAGAATAAAAATTTTACGTTTGAGGCTTTGTTTTCGAGAAAATCGACTTTGAATTTTCGCTCGGTACGCGTGCACTTTATCACGTCTCGTTATAACGGATTTCACTGTAGATCGTTGTCTCGATGGAAAAATTAAAAAAAAAAAATTTTTATTCTATATTTTCGACTTCTTTTTTCGCGTAGAATCACCCCCTTTCCGCTTGTACCACTACCAGTTACCAACCACCCTGTATATATATAACATCGTAAGAAATCGGAATATAAAAAATAGCTTGAGAAGAGAAATGTATACTTCCTCGCCTTTTAGCCTTCGTTTCTCAACCTAATCCTAATACTAATCCATAAACGAGTAAACGTTTTTAGTCTACCGACACATTTAGCCTAACTGACAAAGTTAACTTTTTGATTTAATCAAGAAATCTCGCCCGGTCCGTATCATTGGAAGTTCTATGACCGTTTTCATTTCTTTGTTCCTGACTTCTGCCTCCTTTCTGGCTATATTGAGATATTTTTTCTTGCGAGAAAGGCTAAATATAACGACGACAACCTTTTATACACGTGCGTAACTTATAATGGATCTATTTTTGACTAAACAAATATTTTCCATACACTAGAGATTTTCCGTTCATTATCAGAGTCTGATGTCATCAGAATACATTACAGAATATCGTCCTTGACTCACTAGTCCAAATCCTTTTTCGTATTTTTAATTTAAATTATTTCGGGTGTCGGGATGTCGTATGGTCGATCTTCCGATAATTTCTCCTTAGGAATTGATCCTGAAACTATCGACATTATGCGTTCGAAGAAATCTTGGTAAATGATGAAGTCACTGTTAACCTCTTATGAACGTTGATCAAGTTCGTTGGATTGTTGTTACACTTGGAATTATTCCAACGCAGAACTAAATTCTTCAAGCCTTCGAAAACAGAAACTTCCGTCCAATGATATCCGCAACTTTCCTCGAATCGCATCTCGAATGAACGTTCTAACATTTCACGCTTCGTTTTTGAAATTTTATGATATCATATCGTTGAACGATTAAACTCAAGCAGGACTGCTTGATTAATACATCGTTCGTTTATTTGTCTGCTTTCGTGAGCACAACATTTTTCAATATTCAATCTGTGGCAAAAGAAATGGGCAAAAGCATCGAGTTACGACGAATTATCAATGAGGATACAATTATGAATAATTAATTATGATGAAAGATACGTAGAGAGGCAGAGATTGATAAAAAAACATTTTATTACATAATTTACGATAAATTAAATCTTTCGGAGCTTCTTACTTGAATTTTAGGACTTGACGATAAAAAAAACACTTTATTATATAATTTACGATGAATTAAATCCTTCGGAGCTTCCTATTAGGATTTTAGAACTTCAATGACAAATCAGAATTTGCCCCAGCTGAGTAGTTCGGTGGTCCGACTAATTACTGTTATGATTTCATGGCGAAAACTGGTTATGTTTTAGAATTATTACACCGTAACGCTTATTCATTAGATCAGAATCACTGTGGGACAAGATAAGCAGTTTATTTGCGAGCTAAGGCTGAGAAAATTACAAAGGAAGAAAGATAGTCTTATTCTTCTTTCGACTGCAATAATTCCAACTCTACAATGATCGATCGAACATTCGAAAAACCATATAGTACACGGTCAAAGATCATCTTAGATTTCACTAATCTTGATTTCGATCTCGATCGATGTTTTTTCGGTAAGTTGCCAACGATTTCATCAAAATCGTGTTACCTAATACGCTATTACACGATGGATTAGAAGTTGATGTCAATTTCAATTTTATTTTATCGCTGCTTAACTTATTCGT